ACTAAATTTCCATAATTATTGTTTGGTTTATACTGATGGCTCAGTGTCAACCAACTCTACAGGTTTCTCATTCTTTATCCCTGAAAGGATGGTCAGATACTCCGATACCCTGCCCCATGTCACTTGTTCTTTTACGGCAGAATGCTATGCGATTACGACAGCTCTTGAGTATATCAAATCCTTAAACTTTACAAAATGCTTGATTGTCTCGGATTCCCAAGCAGCCCTCAGCGCTATTAATTCGATCTCGATTTCTGCAGACACGTCTCCCCTTATTCTTAATATAAAAACTTCGCTTTTTGAATTATACTCCCAGGATATAACAATCGAATTTTTGTGGGTCCCAGGCCATTCTGGGATCTCAGGCAACGAAGTTGCTGACCTCCTCGCTGCATCCACCAAATATTGTTTAAATCCCATCCTCTGATCTTTTTAATATGTTACAAAATAATTACAAACAGGCTTGGCAAGTGGTCATCAGTAGCTCCTGATTTCGCTAAGTGGTATAGATCCTTAACCCCTACAATTCCATGACACCCATGATTCGTTAACCAGCCTCTAGACAGGTCACAAATCGTCCGGTTTACCAGGCTCAGACTTGGTCACAACTTACTTCCTGCACACGCCTTTCACCTCGACTTGAACGATTCCCCTTTGTGTACTCGTCATGCAGAAGATTCAATTTGCGACTTCTCACACATCCTCGCCGACTGCCCATCACTCTCTTGTTCCCGATCTATATTATTTCGCTTCTTACATAACAACAATATTAGGTCACTAGAACCAACTATTATACTTAATTCCTTTTCAAGGACCATTATTATTTCTATATTAAAATTCTTCGAGAATGCTGGATTCTTAATTTGATTATTTTGGTTTAAACTTTCTCAACAGTTTGTAAAATTTTTTTTTTCCTTTTGTTTTTTTGTTTTTTTTGTTTTTTTTCTGTTTTTGTTATTGTGGGCTTCAGTTTGTTAACTTTTTTTTTTTTAATCATTGATTGTTTTCTTTTAGTTGTAATCGTCAAGCTGTAATAATTTTATATTGATAGCTTAAAAAAAAAAAAAAAAAAAAAAAAAAAAAAGGTGACAATGATCGCGGACTTTCTCAATTGTGTCGAAACTACGTTTGCAAAAGTTACAATTTGTATTTTCATTATGTTTTCGAGTATCCTCATTAGTCATAACCATAGGGATGTTTGTCTTGAGCAACTCTTCAATTTTACGGCCTACGTCAACGATGTTTTAAAGAAAATACCTGGCAATATTCTCTCGACTATCACTACCGCGATAATTAACCGGTGTGGTTGGTATATTAAATTGCTCGATAAGCTCTAACGGGACTACTTCGGAGGCTTTAACTAAAAACCCATAACTTATAGGTTTGTGGTTATGTATTATAGTCGTATGTCCCCTTCTCTACTCATTAGTTTTAACCAGGAGAGCTTCGAAATCCGCATAAATAGTGAATGGGTGTCGTTGAGCATGTTGCCAATTATCAAATTCGAGCGATGTGCCAACATCGGGCATTATGGGCAGAATCGGCTTATGGGATCCACAAATTAATTTATGCTGCAGCAGTGCTAGCTGTCCACTTAATTTATATTTTAAATTTTGTTCATCAAACGATGTGAAACATCGTTCGCAAAAATATACTGCATGGTCGTATAATGTTTTTTGCGAGCGTATTAAGCGTGAAAAATTTGAAATATATACGCAGTGACTTTTTTCTCCGACAGTGAATAAAATAATGTCAAAATGCTCGGCTTTTTCATTTTCTACGACTTTTAATGGAAAGATGTGATGTTTCGGATTTTTTGAAGAAGGCTGAGATATTGTTTTGACTCCGTAAATATTTACAGAGACTGCCGGGTTATTTTTTTCGAAAATTTTTACTTCACATCACGGTGTTGGGAATGATAAGCCTGTGAAATTATATTTATTCTCATGTTGATAATAATTTTCGCCTACACGGTGTTTATTTGGACCTGTCACGTGCCTCGCCAGAATGGACCATTTAAAACAGTGTTGATCATTATTTTGCGGGTTGATCGTTGCCCGTTTATTTTTGATTGAAAGAGGGAGCTCGATATAGGATGATCCAGCTACAGTGTTAAAAATATCATCAAGATTTTAGCTTTCATTTTGGTGGTTATTATTTTGCGTGCTTAAAATGATGTTATTCCGAATATCTGGATTGTTAACAGTATAATTATGGTTATCAGTATTGTGATTATTCGCGTCATCGAGTTCGTAATCAAAATTAATAACGGGTAGGCCAATGTTAGGGGATCCCCCCATAGTATACTTGTATACTGTTAATAAAAGCCCATCGATAGATTCTAATACATAACCACTACCCTTTGCTACATAAATTTCCTCCTCGTGTTATAATGTAGTGAACGCCTGCTCTATTAGTAAATCTATATCGGAATCGATAAAAATTTCTTGGGCCGATGTCTTGAATGATCTATTTTGTGAAGAATTTTCTACTCGTGGTTGGTTATATGTGGCTTCAAGTTTTAAATTAAATTTTATATGATTAACAACTACAATTCTCCTTAATAATCGGACAAATTCAAGCTTTAAATTACCGAAAAATGAAGTATAATTTTCAAAATTATTCAGATTTTTAGCGTAATACCACACGATTTTTCGACTATGTGCGGATTTAACCTCAGCGAAACCCGGTGTATTAACCATATCCATACGAGCCTTTTTCGATTTAATACGGGAAGCTGTGTTTTCTACGTGTACGCGCTTTCCCCCTACCGAAGTCATATAAGAATCTACTTAAAAAAAAAAAATAATATATATATATACATATATATATATATATATATATGTATATAAATCTAGCGCAAATAATAATATAAAATCTTACTTGTCACATCGCATAGTCCGGCATCTTGAGCATTTTCTAGAACTTCCAAACACATTTCATCGTACCCATCGTTAAAATCATAGTTCGGAATATTATTTACATTCAGAGATTGTCTTGAGGGGCCTGCTGGCTGATCCGGCAATATAATATTCGGGGCGATCTCAATTTCACCTCGTTGTGGTCCAACGCGACAAACAGATGGTAAAATAAATATCAAATTGAATTTTTGAAATAAAAAAAAAAAATAAAAATAAAAAATAAAAAATAAAAATAAACATACCGTGAATGTTTTTCATGTACCTGCTTAAAATATCTTTCCGAGAGCATTTTTTATTACAAATACTGCACACTAGTTTATTTTCTTCATGAGTTTTCACATGTCTGAGAAGACTGTCTTTACGCGTGAAAACCGACGGACACTGTTCGCATTTAAGCATTTTTAAATTGTGAAAACGAAATAAAAACAACAAAATGTTTAAACACTTGTAAAAATGTTAAAACGCTGAAAATTTTTTAAAGTCGGAACGAACTAGAACGATTAATGTGTCAGAGCAGACTAATCTGAATCAGCTACACTCGGTGATATATAAGCAGAAGTACTCTATGAAGAACAAATGCTTCTTGTGAAAGATACTTGTATTATTAGTGTATATTAAAATATAATTAAGTAATAGATTATTGTAGTAAAGAACTAGTGTTTACTTGTGTGAATGAAAAAAATATTTAAAGACAGGAAATATACGACGGTAGTGCTATTGATATAAATGGTTTTGCAGTGAGTAGTAAATATACTTGAATACGGATAATATACCTATTATTGATTGACTGATTAACAATTTATATTATATTAAAATACGTCCGGCAGAAGATACTAATATCGGTTTTAATGTGTTTTTCACTAATAGGTATCGTTAAAGTATTCCTAGCTAATGTCTCTTATTGTCGAATGTGTCTTTCAGTAATAATATTAGTATTTAATTAAATCAGGATACCTATTGATCTATTCCTATAGAAAAAATATTGAATACGAGTAATATCTATTGGCAGAAAATATACGACGGTAACGCCATTGTGGCCTAATGTTAAGAGTCCGCGGCATCCTGGCGACTAAAGACAATTAATGTGTTATTCACTAATAGGTATATGCTAAGTAAATGTCTGCGACATTCTGGCGACAAAGACGTGAATTGGTTTGGCACATTAAGCAGATGGTTAAAATAGGCATTAATTTAGAAATCACCTAATGGCAGGAAATGTCTCTTATTGTTAAGCTAATACGTGTGAATTTAGGTTTTTAAGTCTATTCTGTTTAGGAAATCACTAATATCGGGTATTAATGTATTTTTCTTTGATTGCTTATCGATAAAATCGAATACGGGGAAAGTGTCTTTCAATATAAATGTCCATTGTGGCTATTAAGAGTATGCGACACGAGTCGTGCAAATTTCGAAATAGGCATTTAACATATTGAATATTCCTAATGGCAGGAAATATACAGGCCATTGTGGTCAAATGTCTCCTATTATGGTGTATTCATCGATATTATTTGTGTACGCAGCTGCAAGCTATTAGTATCATGGGCGTGTCTACGGGTCTTGCCTGTCATGCACAGGCATGACCTGCGAAATTTGATCTAACTTACATTATACATTGGCCATTGCGGTACATAATAATTATAATATACACTTTTTTCTTAGATTCTGATTTCATATTAAATTTTTTGATTTTCATCATGTGGACTTTTAATATCTATTACAATTATTGATAATGCTTCCCTTGTTATCATTGGGCATTGATAATATAAGCATTTCATCCATGTGTGGTACTAATTGTTAGTGTAGTTTTTGTACATTATTATCTTTACGATATAATGATAAATGACAGATTCTCCACCATTTATGATAGAATTATGATAACATTTGTACCATTATTCTGATAAATAATGAAACACATGCGAACAGCGGACTCATTAGTCATTACGTTTATTGTGTATTGTGTATTTGTGTAATGACTAATTAATTAGTATTTATTTTGTGAATTGTGATACAAAGAAAACAAAAAAATGAATAATAAAACAATTCTAGATTTCTTTAAAAAATCTACAAGTGCTACCAATAATGGTAAGTAAATTACCTATTTTAATTAAGTAATTTATTATAGCTGTTGAAAATGTTTTAGAAATATAATTATTATTTTAGGATCGACCGATATTAACGTATTCCAGCAAGAGCCAGAATGTTCCATGCCAGTGTCTATTAATGAGCAATCAGGTATACATACATGATACATTATTCTAACATATATTTATATGTGAGTAACAACATATTATTTGTTATCTATAATTTCAATTATTTTTTTAGAATCGACCAATGTTAAAGCAATACAGCAAGAGCCAGAATGTTCCATACCAGTGTCTATTAATGAGCAATCAGGTATAATAAAATATTATTTTATATATAAATGTCTAAAGAAAAAATGATTTTACAATAAATTTTGTGTTGACTGTTTATGTACTGTGTTATTTATTAAATGTTTGTAGTGTTTGCAGTATTTATATGTTATAGTACCTACTAACCTATATTTTATGTTTAAAACTGTGTTTTTATAAATAAATAATCAAAAACTGACCACTACTTTTTTGTTTCCTAAAATATTAACCTATTAAAACTTTATATTCCACCAATCTATAAATATGTCTAAATAAAGTAAGTGCGGTACAAATTATTTATGTTTTTGATTTGCTGTAGCATGAATTTTTGAGTTTAATTATATATTATAGCTTTACCTAGTAGTTGAAAGTTTAGATAAACCATTTGTATTCAATTTATTTGATAATTTAAAAAATACATTATCTAATATTTATGTATACATTTCAGTAAACAATTTGCCACACCATGATGATCCTGTTACTAATTTACCTAATAATCGCCTTGAATTTAAAGAAAGAGTAAACCGTGGTCCATTTCAACCTAAATTACAAATTTTTCCAAGAACAACCTTTGGAAATAAAAACCGTTCTTTCCACCAACAATATTATGAAGAATTTCCTTGGTTAGAATATAGCCCTACTAGTGACTCTGCTTACTGTTTTCCATGTAGGATGTTTAAGTCAAATAGTTTGAACATAGGTCAATCAGATGAAGCATTTACTACCAGGGGGTTCAAAACGTGGAGTACTAGTACTACTTCTTTTAAAAAACATCAGAAAACAAAATCACATTTCTATAGTACTGAATCATTATCAAATTTCCATAAAAAATCTATTGATGTTGTTTTAGATGAAGCTAAAGAGCTAGTTCTGAGTAAAAGAGAAAGTGATAGATTGAATAATAGAAGTATAATGCAAAGGTTAATTGATATAACTATACTTTTAGCTAAAACTGGAAAGCCATTCAGAGGGCATAATGAAAATCTAAAGAGTGATAATAGAGGAATGTTTTTGGAGCTTGCCTGGCTGCTTAAAAAGTATGACCCGACATTAAAAAAACATTTGGATGAAGGCCCCAAAAATGCATCTTATATTGGTAATTTAATTCAAAACGATTTGATTTTATCTATTCATTCTGTTCTTAAAAGAAAACTTGTATCTTCTCTAAAAAACAAAAAAATATCAATCATGGCTGATGAAACGAGTGACTGTGGCCATCACGAACAGATGTCAGTTATTGTTAGATATTACGATGATATAATTAATTCACCAGTTGAGTATTTTATTTGCATGATGCGACTAACAGCAGTAGATTCGCAGTCTATTTTTGATTCTCTAAGTTCCATTGTAGAGAAACAATTGGGTCTCAGCTGGTTGGATGTAGTTGCTGTGTGCTTTGATGGAGCCGCTACTATGGCGGGATGCTCAAACGGTGTCCAATCAAAATGCAAAGAAATAAATTCTAAAATATTCTATGTTCATTGTCATGCACATTGCCTAAACTTAGTATTGGTAGATTCTATTGGCCGAAAGAATCGAATAGTTTTTGATTTCTTTGGTACAATACAATTTTTGTACTCATTTATAGAAGGTAGTTGTATTCGACACGCTACATTAGAAAAAGTAGCCAAAGAAATAAATTTAACTCTTAAGACTCTAAAATCTGTTTCTACAACACGATGGGCGTGTCGATTTGAAGCTGTCGCCGCAGTAAAAAATAATTATTTGGCCATTATCTCTGCAATCCAAAAGATCTGTGACACAACTAAAATTCCAGATGTTAGATCAAAGTCAAGAGGTTTACTAATGCAATTACAAACATTTGAATTCATTTTTGCACTAAATATGCTACATCCTCTTTTATTACTCATTGTCAAAGTTAATTCATGTCTCCAAGCTGAGGATTTAGATCTATTAAATTCTCTAAATATGATCAAATCACTAAAACTGAGCATATCTCAATTAAGATCAGATGATAACTTATTTAAAAAAGTTTATAATGAAACAGTTGAGTGTTGTACAGAAACTGGAGTGATTATTCCTCAAGTAAAAAAAAGAAAAATCTCTTCAAAAATTGATCAATCATCGGAAAATCAATATTTTGCATGTACAAAAGAAGAAGAGATGAAAGTTACGAGTTTTAATGTTGTTTTAGATGACTTGTTAAATGGTTTGAATGATCGTTTTAATCAGGAAACATTAAAACTTATACTTACTGTAACGAATATATTAAAACTTGAGCCATCTCAAGAAGATCTATTGTATTTGAATAATGTATTTGGAATCGATAGTGAGCAAATTCAAGTTGAAATTATGTTACTTAAAAATATACCAAATATTCCATCTGGAACCAGTTCTAAAACACTTCATCAATGGATTGATTTTCTAAATTCAAATAATAGAACTTATATTTTTGTTCACTTCTATAAAGTAATAGTACTTTTTGCCACTATTCCGGTAACAACTTGCTCATGCGAACGTGCATTTTCTAAGCTGACGATTGTAAAAACAAAACTCCGCAGCACCATGACTCAAGAAAGACTTGACGCTTTAATGTTTCTATTCATAGAACAACAGATGACAACAAATATTAATTATGACGAAGTTATCGAGGAATTTAAAGTGATGATACCAACAAAACGACGTTTAGAATTATAATAAGCGAATTTGACTGTATATATTAAGACCATTTCTGATTTTAAAAATATTTGTAAAAAGTATTACACATTAATTATATTTTAAAATACAATTTTATATTGCCTTGTTATTTTATTTATCTAATAAAAGGAATATTGTTTTTTATTCCGAATAAAAAAAGTAAAACTGATTTAATCATTATTAGATAATAATGATAAAGCTTTTTAAGAAATTTGGGGGTCATATCCTTAAACCGAAACCAAATTTTTTTTAGGGGGTGATGGGGGGTGCAGAAACCTACTTCCCCTGAATATGCCACTGCTGTGCATGACCTGCGAATAAGGTCTGGACACGCCTATGATTAGTATCTTAATGATAACGACTATTCAGAGTCGGCGACATCCCGTCGACATGAGCAAATATGACATTTAATATTATATTTTTAAATTCATATATATGATAAAAAAATATGTTTATTAAATACAAATCCGCGGCAAAAATATATGATAACATGTGATAACTGATAACAGTGATAATGTATGTCGCGCACGTACGCGATCGGCGGCGGCGGCGGTTAGGTTTTCTCATAACAATAAAAATGAAAAATTTTGTTGTTCAATATGTTTAGCTTTCAGTAGTGTAGATGATAAAAACACATTTTTATCGGGTATGTTTGATTTTAAACATATTTATTCAAGGATCGATGAACACGAAAAAAGCAAAATACATTTAAACTCTACTGAAGCATTTTTGTTATATCAAAAAAATAGAAATATTCAATCATTGTTATTTAAAGACCAACTTTCTAAAAGAGCTGAAGAAATTTCTAAAAGAAGAGCAGTTTTTGAAAGGATTATAGATGTAGTAAGATTGATTGGACGTCATAGTTTAAGTTATAGAGGAAAATATGAAGGAATAAATCATTTATCAGATAATACATTAAATCATGGTAATTTCTTAGATATATTATTGCTACTAGAAAAGTATGATGCCACTTTAAGTAGTCATATTCAAGCGATTATCAAAAAATCTGAAAAAATTCTACATCTGGCAGAAGTCCAAATCTAACACTAATATCTAAAACAACTGTAAACTACATTTTTCTGGCATTCTCAAAACTTCTTAAAGACCACATCAGTACTAAAGTTAATATAGCTGGTATGTTTTCTATTCAAATTGATACTACTCAAGACATTACAGTATCAGATATTTGTTCCATTATAATTCGTTATGTTTCAATAGAACCTATACCAAAAGTAAATGAACATGTGTTATCCATTTTGAGTGCAAAAGAATCAACCGGTAAAGCATTATTTAAATTAGTCGAAAATAGCTTATTAAAAAACAATATCAATGTGAAAATGTGTGTTGGTAGTTCTACAGACGGAGCTTCAAACATGAGGGGTCAATATCAAAGTTTTTCTGCATGGCTCACAAATGAATCACCTCAACAACTTCACGTTTGGTGCTACGCACATAAGCTTAACTTAGTGTTAACAGATATTGCATCTATAACATCTCAAGCAATTTCATTGTTTGGTCTAATGAATTCATGTGCTATTTTTTTTTCGTGAGTCTTACAAAAGAATGGATGTTTGGAGACATGTTACTACAGACAAGTCGTGTTTTAAACTTAATAGGTGAAACGAGGTGGTGGGCAAAAGATGTCGCTTTGAAAAAATTTTTTGACATATTTAATGATCCTTTAAATTCACTCTTTACTAATATTATTCAAGTTTTTCAATTGATTGTCGAAAACACTGAACATTTTAATAATGATGGGTATAAAGCAACTACTTATTTAAACAGTTTGACCAACTTTGAAACCATAATTACTGCTCAACTATTTCTTAAAATATTTCAAAGCACAACGCCACTTTCTAAATACTTACAAACTAGTGGAATGTGCATTTTGCAAGCAAAATCAATGATTAATACAACTTTAAAAACACTGAAAAGTGAATCCAGAAATTTTGAAAACATTTATAAGGCTGCTTTAAACTTTGTTAGTTGGGCTAACAAAAACTTAGAAGAACAAAATATTGATTTTGATGTCCGAGAATCATTTTGTGAAGTACGCGCAAAATCAAAAAAAAAATATTCGGTGAAAAATCGGTTGATAATATTTTAGTTGATCTAGTAGAGAGATTTAAGATCAACGTATTTTATATAACTATGGATAATGTAATAAATAATATTGAATTTCGTTTCAAGGACGAAAACAATCTAACAGCAGATTTTTCGTACTTAGATCCAAAATATTTTAAACAAATTACATTTTTGCCTAAATCAGCTTTTAAAAAATTATGTAATTCGTTAAATTCTTTTAAAAATGGCCCAAACATTATTAACATCAAAGCTACAGATCTGAGAGAAGAATTACTAGACTTTAAAAAAAAATGGCCAAAACTTAGATACTTGTTAAATGATAAAATTAAGAACTTACATAAAACACAAATTCAACATTATATGGAAGAATCTAATAGTGAAGAAGAAGAAAAGGAGGAAAACCATTTTGATATTGATCAACCATGCAATGATCAAAAAAATAAACGTTGTTTTAACTGCATATTTTGTTGTTTCAATATCTTGGTAGAATATAAACTGTATTCAAATGCGTATTATAATTTATTTATAGCTTATATGTATGTTTTAAGTTTATCTTCAACTCAAGTTGCATGCGAAAGAAGCTTTTCCACGTTAAAGTACATAAAAACACGCTTAAGGAACCGTTTAACTGACGACCATTTGGAGACTATGATGTTAATGCATATAAATAACGACATATTAGACGATATTCAAACAGAACACATCATTATGGAAGTTGTAAACCAGTCTTCAATTTTAAAGAAAGCTCTGTTCATGTAATTAACAATTTTATACTGTAAACTTTAAATAATCAAATATGTAATGTATTTTTATAATAAGTACCTATAATAATAATACTACTGCTTTATTACAATTTACTATCATTTTTATTTTAAAAGTTTGACTACCTTCAAATAAATTTTTTAAGGAATAAATTATTATAATTTGGAGGGCCCTTTTGGTGACTGATTTCCTGGGCCCTTTAAAAAGGCTAGTCCGACCCTGCCCATGAACATGATATTTATGATATTTGTAATTTTGTGTATAAAGTGTTATTTTGACATTGTAGTTGGAATGCGCACCTGTATTATATGGTATATTAATATATTATTAAGTAATTGCAATTAAAAAGCACATAGTTGTTGTAATAGTTTAGTAGATACTGGATATTATATATTTTGAACTTAAATATACGCGTTATAAATATAATGAATAGGTATGTTGTATGACGTATTATATATTATAATTAAAGACCGAATTTTTGTGCAGCTAAAATCTAAAAAATGTGCAATTAAAATGTTAAAATGTGCAAAATCGTGCAAAAACATAATTTTCATTATAGATACTTCAAATATTAATTTTAATAAGTAATAACTAATAACTGACTTTTCAATATTTGATTAAAATTTATAATCATGTACATTTCCAAGTTTATTTCTTTAAAATTATGTCATCTGTCACTTAATATATGTTTTGGGCATTGTTTGTAGCAGCTTATAATAGCAGGATCTTTTTTTAAATCCACATAATTTCCATTTATTGAATTGTTGTACAGTTTTAAAATTTTGTATCCGGGATTTTTATCAAATACTGATTTGAATTTTTCATATAGTTTTTGCCCCTTTTCATTTTCAATTGTCTTAAGCCCATCGCTTACTGTTTCAACTACATTTATTTGATAATTTAAAAGTGAATTTAATTCGTATTATATCGTTATATATATATACATATTTATATATAATTATATAGTTAGATATAAAAGTCCAATACTTTGTAAAACAACATAATATAATAAAAATAATACAAAAATACAAAAATATTTATACAAAAGTACATTTTTGTAAAAAAAACCTGAACTGTGCAATTTTGTGCAACATAAAATTTGCTTTAAATTAATCTACATCTCTTGGTTTGGATTTGTAGCTTGTTTCTATTGAATTTAGAACACGCCATAAAAAGATGCAATTGCACGGGAATCCGGTCTTTAATTATAATCATTGATTTCATAATAGACAGATGAGCAACGCTGTAGAAAAAACCGGTCGCCAATTCCTGACTGTCGGCCGTTATAGAGCGCTGTAGTCAACGACTGTCAGCGGTGCGGTGTACACCTCTCCTTACTATGACAGGGTGTTATATTTTCATGTATCCCACTAGTCTCTAAACTATAAATAACTTATCAATAAGCAATTTTAATAATATCGTTGATTTTGTAGATTGTTATATAAATACTACATAATATCTATTATAAAACCAATGATATTAATGGTATTATTATTATTGATATAATATGAATTGTAAAACAGGACTGTGGTTAACTTTGATAACCGACTACACTTATCGTCTATCGATTGTCATTCGAAACGGCAACACTTATGTTCTTAATGTTATATTAAACGTTTTCGTGTTACAAATAACAATATTGATCATGCCTGGAAATAAGTGTCAATATTTTAATTGCTTTAAAACAACAGTACAGTTTCCCAACCTAAGTATGTTTCGATTTCCCAAAGATGAAGTTAGAAGTGAAGTATGGGTACTGAACTGTGGTATATATTATTTAATGAATTAAAATTATTTTTCATTCAATTTTTTTTATTTTAAATTAAATATTATCTTCTTAATATAGGAAATATTAATCTACTGTCGCTTTCGAAAGAAAAATTGCATAATAAATATCTTTGCCAGGAACATTTTAGTCTCGATGATTTTATGAATCAAAATAAAATAAATTAAAGCCAACAGCTATTCCTTACGAATATCATTCGGAAAAACAACTATCTACATCAACAGGTAAAAAATAATGATGAGTACTTTATTTAATTATCAGTGCCGCAATAACCGGGTGTGTTGGGTGTGTTAAACACATGAGCCCAGGGCCCCAACCTATAATGGGGGGGGGCAATGATAAAAATCGATTTTTTATATTGTTGTAACTCAAAAACGAATCATTTTAAACACTTGAAATTGTCACTAACTGTTTATATTAGCGTTATCTATATACGGTTAAATTTTCAAAATATTATGGCCTTTTTTTAGTTATTGTAGACAACTGGAATTTTCGATTTTTTAAGGAATTTTTTTTTTGAAACGTCTATAAAATAATTTTAGATGTCCAAAAAAACTTAAAAATTTAATACAAGATTTCTTATAGGTCGTTCTTATTGTAGGTAAAAAAAAAAAAATCAAAAATCGTTAGTCACATTTATTTTTTTTATAAATTTTAAAGTTCAAATTTTTACGAAATATGTCAAAATCCCAAAAATTTTCAAGTAATTTTGTAATTAAAAATTCATAAAATTTGTTGTATTCATATCTAAGGCTGAAAAATTCAACATTAAGTTTTCCATAAGTTTTCCTTTAAATAAAAAAAACGAAGCGTCATTATAGGAAAAAAATTTATGAATTTAATGAATTTTTTTATTTAAATTTAATATGAATATAAAAGGTTACATATTATTACATTTATTTATTTTTAAATACCTATATATTCATGATTTTTCTATTTGATGTTAAAATGCTTATAAAAAAAATGTATGCCCATATATTTTAAATATTTTAAAGCAGTAATAATTATTTTGTCCACATTTTACGAAAAAAAGCTGAAAATGCTAAGATAACTAAAATTAATTATAACTTTAAATAATTTTTTTTTATGTTTTTAAAAAAGGTAACTTGTCTTCAGTTGAAATTGCAGAACCAGATAAATTAACATTATTGACTCCAACTAAAACTTATGTAAAATCTAGAAGTGATATAGTAGAATTAGTATTCCCTAGTCCTTCGTCAATAACATCCACTCCACAAAAAAATAAAATATCCAAATTAATTGATATACCAAGTCCGAGTTTAAAAAGAAAAATAAATTATGAAATCGATAAAGATTCACCTAGAAAAATTAAACTAAAACAATCAATAAAACAAAAGTCAAAAATTATTCGTAATAAAAACAATCATATTTCTAAATTAAAAATGTCAGT